GGAAATTACCAATACAGGGTCAGGTAGAAATATAAGGGTATTTAATAGGGAAAAGCCTTACTTACAGAGCGACCTAGTCAGCCGGCGTGTCAGTGGTCTGTACAGCAAGAAGCAAAGTGAAACCGAAAGAGCAAACGCAGTCACACTACATCACTTTGGGGATGCCCTCACAAGCGTGGTCAGGCACACCTGTAGCCAGCCCCTAAGTAGGCATGGCTACAGCTTCCCCTACAGGATTCCAGAGTTCAGCTCAGGGTTTAGCTGTGGGAGGCTGCTTCTGCTTCCATTAGCTACTGGATGAAGGCTCTAGGATGGCATATAAGTTAGTCATCAATCTTGTTATCAGAGAAGGGCATTTAAGGTAGCCTCTCGATTATTGCTTAAATTGTTAGTTGGGGTCAACCTTGTAAATCTCTGGAAATATTTGTAGTACCAGAATTCTCTTTAAACCTATAATGGCTCCCTCTATTATGGTATCTCTTTTCTTGCTCTCCTCTAATCATTCCATGACTAAATCTTCCTGCTGTGTCATGTCCTCCTCTCTCCTCCTCTTCTCCCTTTCTCTTTCTTTAGGAACAATAGTTTCCCTCAGCATAAATATTAATTTTACTAGCAAACACTTGATTTATGACTATGGTGGCACTCACTGTATCACACTTGTATAGAACTGGAGCCAGATGTTGTCACTGTCTTTCATTGGACTACATTGTATAACTGACATATCTCAGGTCCATGCATGAAATTCTGTTGGATGTTGCTGTGGAACACATTTTTTTACTTGGCTATATCTTAATAAAGATTTATCAGTTCATTCTCATCTAAAAGCATAACATAATTTATATAAAACAGAATAAATTATTTCTAATCTTCTATGCTATTGATCTATAGTTTTGAATAAATATGTTATTATATGATTCTTCAAAATGAATGTTCAGTTTTCAGTAGTGTATGCAACTAGGCTTCCCCATTGGTTCCATTTCCATTTATTTATCTCGTCTCCCTCTTTTTGTTGTATTTGGGTTACAAATTTGTGACAATAATTGTCTTCTTTCACTCTCAAGTTTCCAAACACTTGAAATATTTGTCATGATGGAACACAACTATGTTTTTAAATGCCATCTTTCAAATTAAATGAAAGAAAATGAAAAAGGGACTTCTTTGAGTCTCCCTCTCTCTCTCTGTCTCTCTCTCTGTCTCTGTCTGTCTGTCTGTCTGTCTGTCTGTCTGTCTGTCTGTCTCTCTCTCTCTCTCTCTCTCTCTCTCACACACCCACACACACTCTCTCTCTCTCACACACATGCATTTTCTCTTTCTCTCTCTCTCTCTCACACACACACACTCTCTCTCACTCACATACATACACAGTGCTCCCTCTCTCTTTCTCTCTCTCTCTCTCTCTCTCTCTCTCTCTCTCTAGCACACACACTCCTAGTCATTAACCCATACCCATGAACATAATATACTTTTTAAATAAATTTCTTCCTCCTTTGACATAAGAAAATATGTATTGTGTATTGATATACTATTTCCATGAATACTACAGTGTTTAAAAGCATGTATCATTCAAACAACTAACTCAATTTCTTATTGTTAAATGTCCTAGTATTTTTCCAAATTCCTTTTGATTCAAGTTATTTTTACTTTAGGTTTTATGGATTTGAGATTTTTAATCTGTTTATTTATTAGTTCAAATTATGAGCAGGCTTGCTTCACATGTCAATTCCTTCTCCCTCTCCCTCCCCTCCCTCCAACCATCCTCCCATCCCCACACCTGCCCTCCATCCCATCCACCCTCCACTCCCCAGGCAGGGTAGGGCCTTGATGGTGGCTCCCAAGTCCACCACATGATCCTGGGCCAGGCCTAGGCCCTCCCCCATGTGTACAGGCTGAGAGTGCATCCCTTCACGTGGGATGGGCTCTTAAAGTCCCCTCTTACACCAGGGAAAATACTAATCCACTACCAGGGTCCCCCTAGAGTGCAGAGGCCACCTAATTGACATCCATGTTCAGGGGTCTGGATCAGTCTTGTGCTGGCCTCCCAGACAGCAGTCTGGGGTCCATGTGCTCCCCCTTGTTCAGGCCAGCTGTTTCTGTGGGTTTCACCAGCCTGGTATTGACCCCTTTAATCTTCATTCCTCCCTCTCTGCAACTAGGTTCCAGAGTTCAGTTCAGTGTACATCTGTGGGTGTCTGCCTCTGCTTCCATCAGCCACTGGATGAGGGCTCTAGGATGGCATAAAAAGTAGTCATCAGCCTCATTATAGGGGAAGGGCATTTAGGTTATCCTCTCCATCTTTGCCTAGATTGTGAGTTTGTGTCATCCTTGTAGATAACTGGAAATCTCCCTAGTGCCAGATCTCTCCTTGGTCCTATAATGTCTCCCTCTGTTATGGTATCGCTCATCCTGCTCTCCTCTATTATTTTGCCCAACTCAACATTTCTGCTCCTCTATTTCCTCCTCTCTGCTTCTTTTCTCCTCATCTCATTCTGGCAGCTCCCTCTCCCCTACCCTCATGCTCTCAAGTAGCTCAGGAGTTCCTGTCCCTTCCCATTCTCTGGGGTCCATGCAATTTTCCCTTAGAGTCTTCTTTTTTCCTAGTTTCTTTGTTGCAGAGGATTATAGGCTGGTAATCCTTTGCTCTATGTATAAAATTCATATTTGAGTGAGTACATACCATGTTTGTCTTTTTGTGACTTCACTCAGGATGGTTTCTTCTAGTTCCATCCATTTGCCTGTGAATTTCAAGATTCCATTGCTTTTTTATGCTGAGTAGTACTCCATTGTATAAATATACCACATTTTCTCTATCCATTCTTCAGTTGAGGGACATCTAGGTTGCTTCCAGGTTCTGGCAGTTACAAACAATGCTGCTATGAACATGGCTGACCATATGTTCTTGTTGTATGAACGTGCATTATTTGGGTATGTGCCCAAGAGAGGAATTGCTGGATCTTGAGGTAGACTGATTCCCATTTTTCTGAGCAACCACCATACTGATTTCCAAAGTGGTCTTACAAGTTTGCACTCCCACCAGCAATGGAGGAGTGTTTCCCTTTCTCCACATCCTCTCCAGCATAGAATGTCATTGGTGTTTTTGATTTTAGCCATTCTGGCTGGTGTAAGATGGTATCTCAGAGTTGTTTTGAGTTGCATTTCTCTGATGGCCAAGGATTGATCAACTAAAAAAAATCTGTAGCCCTACTATATACCGCTGACATATTGGTGGAAAAAGAAATCAGAGAAACATCACCTGTAGTGGGAAATTACCAATACGAAGTCAGGTAGAAATACAAGGGTATTTAATAGGGAAAAGCCTTACTTACAGAGCGACCTAGCCAGTCGGCGTGGCAGCTGTCTCTGTTGCAAGCTCAAAAGTGAAACCGAAAGAGAAATGCAGTCCCCGGAAAGACTCACTCTACATCACCCTTGCAAGCATGGTCAGGCACACCTGTAACCATCCCCTAAGTAGGCGTGGCTAGAGCTTCCCCTTTTAGTCTAAAAGAGGATTAAAACTTAACAGTGTAAAGTATCCAAAATTAACAATCATTAAGATAAAATATAGGAAGATATGTCACATCCTAACTATCTATTTTAACTAAACCCTAAAGTCATCTGAGAGAGGTGTCCAAGCCTGAACACCTCCTTCCAATCCCAACCATAAACAATAGGAAGCTATCCTTAACTAGGTATATACACTATCCTAAGTGACAACAATGGGGGAAGGGGACAGAGCATCCTCCAAGTTACTTCCTGCTGAAATGGGATGACCATAGCCTTGTGGGTCCTGTAGGAAAAAAATGTTAGTATAGTGAAAGCCTTGAATGGATTATATCCAGTCCATGTTAGATGTGGTTCACTTGATTGAAGATCTTGCTTGAAATCCTCAACTTGATTGCAGTCAGTACCCGAACTTCTGGCCAGAGTGTCAGTTGAAATGGAGCCAAGTTGGATCCAGTGCAGTCGAGGAGGTGTGACCCATTTTCTTTCCAGGGTGTCCAGGGATTGCTGTCAGGCAGGTCTTCATTGGCTGTGTGGGACTCAAACATAAACAGTTAGCAGAGAAATGTTTGCTTGTGTATGTACATATACTGGGGAATGCAACCATGAGAGCATAAAAATTATGAGAGGGTGTACACCTTGAGAGAAAGATCCAAGAAAAGACAAAGACA